TGGGATAAAAATTCATAAAAATTTATTTTCTGTTCAACTTTCTGGAAAGACACCAAAACATAAACAAAAACGAATCTGAAAGGGTTTTCTTCCCCTAAACTTTCTTTCCTTCTCAAGATGTGAGCAAGAACAGATCTGGAAAAAATTATGTGTCTCTTCTCTAAACTTCTAAAGAAAGCACCAAAACAACTTATATGAAGTTGTACATAAGATTTTGCAAACTGATGGTGGTTTCTTGATAGCATAAACAGAAAGTAAAGTAGATAATTACGAAAAAAGTTCTTCAACTCTCAAATTGCTTGGATAAAACACCAAGATATGAACAAAGACGAAGAAGAGCTCCTGAGAACTTCTTCTTTCCCCAAAAATATGATTAAAACGGGTCTGAGTTGGTGTTTTGAAACTTAAGAGATGATTAACTAAACAAAAACTTTCAAATCTAGAGATCTGAGCTAAAAATGAAGTAGATCAACAGATCTGAAGAAAAACTCATAAAAATTTTCTTTTCTCTTCATCCTACTCAAGAAACCCCCAAAATATGAACCAAAAACGATTCTAAGAAGGTTTTTGTAAACTTGGGGAGTGTTTGAGTGAAGGAAATCATATAGATCCATAGATCTGAACTGAAAAAAGTGAACAGATCAAGAGATCTAAACAATAGTTAAACAGATCTGAAAAGATCTTGGCAAGATCCAAACAGATCTGAACAAAATGATGGGTAGAAATGAACAGATCTGAACAAATCTTAGATGAAAGCACATCAGACCTGAACAAATCTGGGCAAAATCGAGCTTGAGGCCAACTGAGGCTTTTGCTACTTGCTCGAATCCGGGATGGCGCCAAATGATGCGACATCAACCTCCGACAAGGCTTCTGCTCTTCTGCTGCGGCGGAGATCTGACATCACAGTGCAAACCCGTTAGAGCCGTCCCATGGACTGTGCCCCGGGAGCGGACTCCGACGGTCAAGTTAGATCAGCTAGAAGATCTGAGATGGTCCTCCATAGCTGGAGAGAACCATCTTGGTGTTAGTGGTGGTATATGGTGGCTGACGGCGGAGGGTGGCGGCTGAGCCACCCGGCCGGAGTATAGTGGCGGCTGAGCCAAAGGGAAGGATCCAGGGAAAGAGTCCTCCTTCATGGAGGAGGTACTGTTCATTATATAGGGGACAATTAGGTCAGGCCTTGGGCCAGCCCAATTCAGGCCCAGCTAGCAAGGAGCTGGGCGGCCCCGCCCGGAGGCGTCGGGCGAGGCTGGCGGGCGCGCACCAGGCAAGGATGGCAAGGGAGTGCCAGGCGAGGGAGCGCCTGGCCGAGCCGGCAGGAGAGTCCCCAGCAGGGCTGGCAAGGGAGTCCCCAGCAAGGCTCGCAAGGGAACGCCAGGCAGGGCTGGCAGGAGCGTGCCAGGCCAGGCTGGCACGCTAGAGCAGTCTAGGTCATGCCAATGGACCATATATCATCACCATGAGACCCCTCCAATAACTCAGATCTGAAGGTAAGACTCCATATAACACTCCACAAATCCGAAAATGGCTTGGAAAGCCCTAAATGCACCCAAAATCTAAGCCCTAAGGATGAATAACCATATGGAAGACCAAGACAGGGGCATTTTACCTTGATTGAGCTGGAAATGGACCAAAATCTCTAGATCTCCAAGCCTCAACTCGAACTATCAAGCTTCTTTCTTCTTCTCAAGCTTCACAATCCACCAAATGCACCAAAATGGCCTTAGAACACACAAAAACGGCTAGGGTTTCGATATACAGCTCTCTGGGAGTGATAGGGACGATGGAGGCTAAGATAAGGTGTTTAAATAGGGTGCAAACCCTCAAATTTAGGGTTTCACTCAAACAACACCTACTCGCCGAGTCAGTCTCCGACTCGTCGAGTAGGTCACTTAAACTTCCCGCAGATCCCGACTCTACTCGACGAGTTGGGCCACCAACTCGTCGAGTCCCAGAGAAAATACATACAATTCTTGAATAAAATACATACCAGGAATCAGGTGTTACATGTTTAGCTAATGTACAAACATGACAATGTGAATTGTTTGTATTCAAAGATACATCAACATTAAGCAAATCCTTAGTAGGAAATATCCTTTTATTTGAGGGATGTCCAAGCCTCTTATGCCAAACATCTAATGAAACATCATTGACCCTTAAGTTATTTTGATGTGATATATTACTTGTAGAATCATTTCCCATCACATATAATCATGCATCAATCTCAGCCCTGCCAATCATCTTCATGAGCTTGATATCCTGAATCAAAGCATGATTGCATGTGAAATAAACAATAAATCTTTGTGTTCTTGTTAAAGCACTGATTGATATAAGATTCATATAAAATGCAGGAACATATAAAACATTCTTGAGTGTGAGAACATGATCCAATCTAATATCTCCAATCAACTGAACTGGTAAAGTAATCTTGTTGGGAAGAGTAACAATATATCTGTGAACCTTACAAATATTGTGAAAGAGTGATATATCATGACAAACATGTTGAGATGCCCCCGAATCTAAAATCCATAATGAAGATTTTGAGCCATGTTTAATAGAAATAGAATAACATTTACCTGATGAAGTCTCTTCATTTGGATTAACAGAAATCATATAAGAAGAAATAGCAGATAAGACTTGTTGACACTGTTCTTGAGAAAATCCTCTGAACATATTGCTAAGACTATCATTGATAACACTTTTCCCATTGACATCTTCATTTATAACAACAGCAGCATGAAAGTTTGCTTTTGATTTAGGTTTATATCCAGGAGGATAACCATGAAGTTTGTAACACTTATCAATGGTGTGTCCCTGCAATTTGCAATGAGAACAGAAAGGCCTTTCTCTATTTCCATTTTTGTTGTTATTAGCAAATTTATGATGTTGATTTTGATTAGCCTTGGCAAGAAAAGCAAAAGTTTGTTAGAGAATCATTAGAAAGAGATTTCTGTTTTTCTTCTTGAGCAAGCAATGAGAAAACACGATTAACAGAAGGTAAAGTATCCATAAGAAGAATTTGACCTCTAATTTGAGAAAATGACTCATTTAATCCCATCAAAAAATTCATTATGTGCTTAGTTTGGAAGTACTTCTCTATTTCTTGAACTCCATTACAGGTACATTTGTTGCAGGTGCAATGAGGACGAAAATTGATGAGTTCTTCAGATAATGACTTCAATTTAGTGAAATAAACTCTAATAGAGTCTTGATTTTGAGATAGATTGACAAGTTCTCTCCGAATTTGAAATATGCGTGGACCGCTGCTTTGTTGAAATCGATCTTGTAAATCCTTCCAGATGTCAATGGCGGTCTCTGTGAACATCACACTGGTAGAAATCTCCTTTGAAACAGAATTCAATATCCACGAAATAACAAGTTTGTCATTTCTCATCCAGGCGCTGTAATTTGGATCTGAAGATATAGGTTTCGGAAGAGAACCATCGATGAATCCAATTTTATTTTTCACAGAGCAATTTGCATCGCTTGACTCCATGAATTGTAGTTGTCTCCGATCAAAACTTGAGAAACAAGAACAAAACCCAGACTATCGGAATGATGTAAGTAATATGGATGTGTTCTGTCATCAATCGGGGCAATAGAATGCGTAGAGGAACTCGGATTGGTGTCAGTTGGCATCACAAACCAAATTAAAAAAAAAAAATAAGAAATCGATCTGAAAAACAATCAATTAATATGAACAATTGAATGAAGAAGAAGCACAATCAGTGAAGATGACACAAGATGAACGGATGACTGATTGGAAGAAAAAATCGGTTAAGAAATAAAAAAAATGACTTGAATCTGATTGGGAAATTGATCGGAATCAGTTGAATGAAAGCATGAATTCTTCGCTCTAATACCATATTACGAGATCAAACAAGATTGAAACTGATTCATTACTTTGATTGAAACTCAAAATGAAGTTTATATACAGACATCTAAAAGGGAAAATCAGCTAACAACTAATAACCACTTACTAACTAACAATTAGTTAAATTACTAAACTACCCCTGTCAGTTAGAACTGTAATACTATCACCGGTTATACACCAATTTCTGAACCAAATTGAACCGACCGGTTTTTAGAAAAAAGCGGTTGAACCGGTCAAAATAAACCGGTTGGACCGGTTAAACTAAATAAAAATACATGGAAAAAAACTATTTTCAATAATAAACTTTGGTAGACTTTTTCACATCTATTTAGATTTTTCTAAATAAAAACATATCGTAAATGTTATGATATTTTTTGATGCACTTGTTTTCATTTAAAACTATATTTTTTTCGGTATTATACTTTATTTTCTTTTTGACGTATGTAAATTGATGTAAAACTTATATTTATGTGTTATTTTAATGTATTTATATTGATCTACAACTTATTTTTATGTGTATTTTTAATGATTGAATTTGTAGAAGTCAAATTCATGATTTATGTATGTATGTATGTGTAATAAAAAAAAAAGATGAAAATTATAGAAACCGGTTGACCCGACGGTCGAACCGGTTAAACCGGGAACCGGTCGCCATAACGGTTCAACTAAAAAACTGGTTTTTAAAACATTGAGTACAACAACATGAAAAAAAAAAAAAAAAAATGGGAATCAGAAAATTATACCTGATATCGTCGATCGTTGGGTTGGGTGGCAGAGGAGAAGAACTTTGCGTCGATCGTTGGGTGGCAGAGGCAGATCGTTGACGGATGTTGTTGGTTGAAGAAATCATCGACGGATTTTGGTTGAGGCTCTGAAATGTTCTACGCTAGGGCAAGGGTACAATTAGAAATGCTTCTCTCTTTCTCACTCAATTGATTTCCCTCTTTTTACACAGTTAGATATTGCTTTCCAAGTTAGACGCCCACAATTGGTTTATCAAACGCCTTTGACCGAGTCAGCCAAAATCACTTTAGGCTGATTTGCTCCGTTAATATACTTGGAAACAAAGTACGCCGTTTGAAACACCCAATTATTTTTCGAGCGTTTGGATTCCACCATTTATATGTTTACTGGAACTCCCTCATTCCTTGATGCTTCAATCAATGAATCATTCGGTAACCTCTTGGCCAAATTTTCGCAAACAAACAATCTTAGAGCCATCAAGAAAGTCCATGCTCATTTACTTAGAACAGGCATAATCTTCATTTCTTACACCCTCCAAACCAATCTCGCATACGCACATACGAATTGTTCTCAAGAAAACAACATTCAAACACTAACCAAATTCTTCAATTCCTCCATTCTCACACACCCGGTTCCCTTCAATTCGATCCTTTCTTGTTTTGTTAGAAATGGACATCCTTCTGTTGCTCTCAAAACATTCACTTTCATGCATGTCAGTGGCGTTCCAATAGACACATACGCTTTGTGTAGCTCGTTAACAGCGTCTTGTTTGACTCGAGATGTCGGGTTCGGGAAACAGATCCATACCCATGTAGTGAAATCTGGGTGTGGTTCTAGTGTGTTCTTAGGCAGTGCCTTAGTTGATTTCTACTCAAAATCAATGGCTATTCTTGATGCAGCAAAGGTGTTCGATGAAATTCCTCTGAAGAACACAGTCTGCGCAAATGCGCTTCTTTCAGCTTATTCCGATGCTAAAATGTGGGAGAATGGTATCACATTACTCCGCAGTATGCCTGGTTTACATTTATGTTATGATAATTGGACCTTTTCCATGGCTTTGAGTATATGTTCTGGGATGTATGCAATCGAATTAGGTAGTCAACTACACGCAAAAGTAATTCGAACAATTCACAATGCAAAATCTGACGTCTTTCTCTTGAGTTCACTAATTGATTTATATGGAAAATGCGGGCTATTAATCAAAGCGAAACAAGTCTTTTCCATGGCAGAATCTCCCGATGTGGTTTTATGGACATCAATGCTTAACGTATATGGTAAAAACGGGAATCACAAAGAAGTAATTCAACTTTTCAAAAAGATGTTAACAAAGAAAGTTAAACCAGATGGGGTGGCGTTTGTTACTGTTATCTCAGCTTGTGGTCACACGGGTCAAATTGATCTTGGCATCGAGTATTTCAAGTCCATGGGTCGGGATTTTGGGATAAACCCAAATCCCGAGCATTACGGGTGCCTTGTTGACTTGTTTTGTAGAGCAGGTGAGTTAGAAAAGGCTTGGAATGTGGTGAAAAACATGCCAAGTAAAGCGACCCAAAGTGTCTCTGTTTGGGGGGCGTTGCTGAGTGCTTGTTGTGATCATGGACATGTTGATTTGGGGAAGTTTGCAGCTCGAAGAGCACTTGAATTGGATCCTATGAATACTGGGATTTATGTTTTATTGTCGAATATGTATGCTAAATGTGGTTTATGGGATGAAATCCAACAATTAAGGGAATTGATGGAAAATAAAGGGTTAAAGAAAGACACTGGATGTAGTTGGAATGTTGGATTGAGGTGACCACGTGATTTTGGCTAGTATGAAGTATCGAGTCAAAACTATATATGTCGTTTTATATGTTGCCACCGACAAAATATTACTTGGAAAATAAAAACAAAGCCATTTCTATATCATTTTATTCGTTTATTTTACAAGTATCAGTAATAAAACTCACAACTCACAATCACGTTTTTATTTGTTGTCTATCAAATAAAACAACCCCACAAAATTTAAATACGAAATAACCAAAACATATAAACGGAGATCCTATACCAAAATTCACACTCTTTAACTGTTTACAACTGCACAGTTCCTTCGAATTTCACCCGTGGTTCCAGTTTTGACCCCGATTTGACCCATTTTCTCCATGGATAATCCGAATTCAGTGTAGAAATTAGCAATTGATCCTTGAAGGAGTTGGTTGATGAAAGTCAAGGTGTTGGAGTTCCTAGTCAAAGCTGAATCAGACTCGAACAAGCCCCTACGCTTTAGTAATAACGTGTAGTAGCTAAGATCAAAAGTCTTACGACTTCCGGGATCCATCTCAACTATTGTTGTTGTGTCATTTTGTATTCTACATTTTCTTGATCTGAGATTGTCCGCATATTCGCTATCCAGTGTCGGGTCACGATCGCCCACACCCGTGAAATTGTATAGACGGTTTGTAAATGATGGACAATGTGAGATTCCAATAGTATGAGCACCTGAAACAAAACAAACGGCCAAGGGTTACAGTCTGAGCAGCTACAGTGTGAGACTTTTAATTTTAATATGGATTCGGCTTTTGTCAGCCAGGTGGGGAACATGACATTAGTGTGGGCTAGCTCGTGGGTTACTGGAATAATAACTTTTTTGCATAAAATAATTAAATAAATAGATAAAAAAGATACGTACCAGAAAGCAAGACAAGATCCTTCAAATCAAGACTTTTATTTGCAAACTTTTGTGTGAGGATTGTAATGTTATCGAATGGAGCCGGGATTTGGGCTAATGCCTCGGATGCGTTTGACATCAGTCCATCTCTTCGACCCGTAGGCACTCTCCATGTAGGACCACCCTTTATTTAATTAAACCGGAAATAATAATAAAAAAGCGTTATTGTTATATTTTATTTTAAATTTTATGGGTCTTAAAAAAAAGTTAGAATTGGTCATACAGTAAGAACAATTGAGTCTCTAGCAGCAAGAGCAACAATATCAGCACAAGAAACAATGCCAGGGCATTCTGCTTCAAGTAAACTCTTCAATCTATCAATGAAATCGAACCCTCTAACTGTTTGGTTTGGAACTGCCACTTTCTCTGTTTGATTCCCTGAGGCTGAAGTAAAATTCAAAAGCACTGATCCATCACAACCCTATTCCAATTTCCAAACAACAATAATGTTAGCAAGGTCAAAATGGTCATTTTATAATAATTGAAAACTAAAATATCAAATTTCAAATTATGTTTTGATGAAACTAAACAACGTGTCATGTTTTGATTGTCACTTTAAGAACCTATCTTGTTAATTTGTCATGTCAAGGTAAGGGCTCCAAGACAAAAATAGTCATTTCGCATGCATAAAAAACGTGAAAGTACAAGGGTCTACCTGCTTAATTAGCAGAGAAGAAATAAAAAAAACAGGACCCACAATAATTAAAATGAACGACTTGAATGACCATGCTATAGTTAGGCTATGTTTTTTTTTTCTAGATGTTTAAATGATATTTGAAAAAACTATGGCACACTTGTGAAAGTGATTATAGACACTAAATGAAGGAAAAAACGTACAAAAAATAAATTTAAGTCGAAATGCCTATTTCATAGCATTATCTATTATATCATCCACAATACATAGTTCAATAGAAAAAATGAATAATGTGGAATGTTTAGTTGGTGTTTAATGGATACGGTAAAATATTAATAATGATATGAACATTATCATATATTGTGATGCCCTTAAGTTGTTTTTCTGCATTATATGTAACTTATCGATTAAATTATGAACACAGCTAATTAAATTAAACTTTTGCTAAAAAGAATATACTAACCCTGACAAAACAATCATGGAAATGCATTCTGATAAGAGCAGCTGCAAGCGATGGAGCATTGGGGACATGTTGATTCACGTAGTCTTGAACAATCTTTTCAGCTTTAGGGCATGAACTCCCATAAAATCCCATCTCCAAATCACCTTCAACTGATCCAAGAATTGCTAGAACACCCAGAATGATCAAGCAAAATCCTTTCATTTTTTTGTCGCCTTTTCAGTTTTCACCTTCTCTCCCACTTCTTTTTGTACAGATTCGTTAACCTCGGATTGAATTTATAGAGAATGAAAACAATAAGTAACTCCTGGATTTAAGTCATATCATATCATATTAAACTATCTAATCAATGTTATCTTGAATGATTAATAAAACTGAGATTAGTTGAAAGTAGAAGTAAGATTCCAGATGTCGATCAGAAATCTCACCTGCTACTTATGCATGTACGTAAGACATAAAAGAAGAATACAGACACTAAAACACAGAAGACATACCGTTGCTCGTGAAAAGAAGTAGTTGATGGATATTTAGTTTATAAACTCATGAGTTGTTGGAGATGTTGGGATTGTGCCATAACTGTGATTTTCAATGACTTGTAGGATTAAGATTTTTTTATATTATTTTATTCTATATAAATATCATTCATTTGCCAACTGGAAAGGGAGACTACAGTGGATAAAGTTGGAATTATATATAATAATGGTGGTTTTGGTAACCTGCTCTCTCTTTTCGTACATTTACATGCATGCATTGCAGAACATGCAAACAGTTAACATGTCTGAATTTGAATTGATCAAACTTTTACTATATCATGTTTAAGGTTGCAAGTTATCAAAAAGTTGAATGTCATTGTATTATTTGCTCGTTACAAGTTATCAAAAAGTTGAATATATCATTTGTATTAATTTACCGTATTAAGTTATCAAAAGGTTGAATATGTCGTCGTATATAATCGGTTTTAAGTTAACAAAATGAAAATGGATGACAACCGAACAAAATCAAAACTTAAAGTATTAAGTTTTTTTAAAGAGTTTAAGTGATTAAAAAAAACCTACAAATTTTGATTATTATTCAATGATATTATGATTAAAAATAAATTTGAATAAAAATTATTGATACATATTAATTAATTTGATTAAAAAGGATGTAGGGCTGAAGCATTATTCTCATGAAAAATAATATAAAATCTCTTCCAATGACCCATGTTATGAGATACCATTTTTGACTTTTTGGTTTTTCAAGTTACTTTTGTTTATTTGTTTTATGAGGATTACGATTTAATTAAACCAACGTCCACTTTGGTTGGACTATATATGTCATGTGTGACGATATTTTTAAATAATGGAAATCAAAATTGAGTTGATCACAACATATACCTGTCTTTTAATAATAATTTGAATGTGTTATGGTTATTTTTAATCTTAATTTTTTTATTTGTTATATACTATATGCTTAAGAAAGGAATATTGTCTTTTAGAATGGCTAAAAGGCATAGCATATAGCATATAGGTGCTCTTTTTCTTTAAATACATAGTTTTCGGGTTTTTTTTTTTTTTTTTTTTCTCTTACTTTCTCTTTTCTGTGAATTTCCACCTCCGACAACTTCTGCACAAGAGTCTTGCCTTTAAAGCAATACAATTTTGTATGGGAAAACACTAAAAAGGTTATTTTATTTTAGACAAAATTATAAAAATTGTTTATTTAGTTGTTAAAATTACGTGTTTTTGTCTAAAAAGATTTGATAGTCATGAGTGATCCAATCTTACATTTTTTTAGTGATTTTGGTCCCTATACACTTAAAATTACTTTTATGTCCTTATAATTTATATTTTTCATTTTCTTTAATTGCTGAAAAACTTTAATTAAATTAATTTACCTTTAATTAACTTAAAAAAAAAAAAAACTAACTCCCCTCTCATCTCTATCATAATACTTATGACACTGCGGAGGAATATTGAACCTCAATCATCACCAATTCCACCTTCCATCACCGGTGTCCACAACCATTGTCGGCGACCTCCATTCTCGTCGGAATTCAGCCGATGCCTTATCTTTCTTTGTGTGTTCAAGCTCCGCTAAGCCACTGCAACCGCTTGATAAGATGGACCACCTCATACACGATGTCGTTATTTACAACCCTAGTGACCTCGCTTCGTCCCCAAATAAATCTAAGTCACCGCTACCAGAGTTATGGTTTGCAGATCGGATCTACGTTTTGCAAACAAAAACAATAACAACAATGTTAGGGTTTGGGTTCAACGATTAAGTTTCTCTCGCTCTTTCCCTCTCTCTCCACATGACCCCCTTCTACCATCGCTTCCCCCTCCTATAATTCAGTTCCACCACCACCTCCTTCACTTGTCCGGATCTAAACAATGAAACAAACAAAAACCAATATATATTTCGCCCTCCGTTGGAGCTATGATTTTCCAAACAAATATTCGTCTATTTTTTGCCATGGATTTGTGTGTGTGTGTGTGTGGATTTCAAGCTTTTTTGGATTTGCAAGTGTGTACGCATTGATTTCAAGCTTTTTTACCAATCATTGATGGAGGTCGATAATCGTCGTTACAGAAGACGACACGGACGACGACTAAGCTTCTTCCAGAGATTTGTGTTTGGGAAAACAGGAAGTTAAACAGAAGTTGATGGTACGAATGGTCGAAGTTTTGAACAGAGGGTTAGGGGTGATAATGGTGGACGTCGATGATAGGCTCTGGTTACAACAAAGGGGACGAAGGACACCGGTGGTGAAAAAAAGCGATGGGCACCAGTGTTAGAAAAGGCGATGGACCCCAATAACGGAAGAGGGTGACGAACATCGGTGCCGAAACAGGGGGAGACAGACTGAAAAACCTTTTGGCTCTTGGAGTGTGCACTATGGAAGAGTGTTTTTTTTTTAAAAAATTTGTTTACAGAAGATAAGAGTGGAGGGAGGGGATAAGAGGGGTGGGTTGGTGGAATTTTTCCTTTCGTTTTCTTTAATTCGAGTAATAAGTAAATAATTAAAAGAAAATGAAAAAAAAATATTCAAGGACATATTTGTCTTTTCATGTAGGGTATGGACCAAAACCACAAAAAGATGCTAACCATAGGGACCAAAAGCACATAAGGTATCTAAAATTGGACCACTAATGCACCAACAAACATTTTTAGACCAAAACCATATATTTTTAACAAGCACAAAGACCATTTTTATAGGAGATATGAAAGGTAATCTGTTAGTTTATATGATATAATAAGTTTTGCAGCGTGTACCTGAAATCTATTCAGGAGAGTTTATGTAGTCATTTCACTTAGACTAATACTGTAACGCTCCGTTCCTGATACGCATTTAATTCATTAAAATATTCATTTTGTAAGAGCTACTCGACGAGTTGGTAGCCCTAACTCGTCGAGTAGGTGCCAGCTTGGTCGCGGGATTTAAATGGTCTACTCGACGAGTCCGAGCTTGGATTCGGCGAGTAGGTCCATCAGGAGGAAACCCTAATTTTCAGAGTTTGCACCCTATTTAAACATCATATTTTGCCTCCACCCCAGCCTCAATCACCTCAAAACCCTATTATCGCAACCCTAATATGCCATAAATGATTTGGAGCTAGTTCTTGCCACTTCTGAGTGTTTTTATGGATTGTGAAGCTTGTGGAAGAAGAAGAAGATAGAAGGCTCAAAGGGGAAGAAGTAGATCCAGGAGCTACACTTCATTTACTGCATTTTCTGGTAATCAAGTTTCCAACTTGATCATTCTTCTCTTAGATCTAGTTATCTCCATATTATGAAAAGTTTTGGGTCAAGAACCTTGGTCCTTGGGTTGCGACGTCCCAAGTGACTTATATCTCAGATCTAGGATCTAGAAAGGGTTCCATGGCATAAAGGTGCAAACATTATGACCATGGAAGCCCCATGCAAGCATATAAGCAAGTTTATGGTCTTTTTAGCCCTAAAAGACCATGCATGGAAGGAAAGCTCGGAGCTTTATGTGTCTAATAGATGCTAAAACCCTAGATCTGGATTTGTATGCGTGGATTTGAGGTTCTATGGCCTTTTGGACAAGATTCATGTCTTATAGGAATTAGGGTTTTGTCTAAACCCTTTTAGAAGAGCTATGAACGGGTAAAGTTGGAAACTTTACCCTTAGGAAGGCCTTTCAAGTGGACAAACGAGCTAAGAACCTTGGATCTAGAAGATATGGGCTTAATCTGTTAAGATGGCCAATCAGACAGAAGGACTCGTCGAGTCCATAAGGGAACTCGACGAGTCGTGTCGTGATTTCAAGATTTCTGAGTTACAGAACTCTGCGAGTCAAAAGGTTGACTCGGCGAGTTGGTAACCCATAATATTGACTTTGACTAGAGAGTTGACTTTGACCAGGGGGTAAAATGGTCATTTTACCCTAAGAAGGATTATCAGATTTTGATTAAGTGTTATTATGGAAGTTGATCGCCAGAGAGTCACCGGAGCAGCAGACAGGGATTCCTCACTCTAGTTTTCAGCAGTTAGTCTTGCGAGGTGAGTTTCCCTTTCAGTAGGAATGGTTCTAAGGCACCAAGGTCGGCCCGTAGCATGATATGTTAGTAGCTGAGTGTGGGCGGGGCCCGTATCTCATAGCTGAGTTTGATTATGGATATATGCCTGATTGATAGATTTAGTTATACTTGTTGTCTGTATGATACTTGTATGTTTGTCTAGTAACTGAGTGTGGGCGGGGCCCGTATCTCATAACAGTTGAGTGTGGGCGGGGCCCGTATATCGAAGTAGCTGAGTGTGAGCGGGGCCCGTATCTCAGAGTCAACGGAGTATAGGCGGGGCCCGTATCTCCATGAGTGTGGGCGGGGCCCGTATCTCTTAGTTGAATGTTATATGTGTATGATATGTGGTAGTTTGGGGGAGCTCACTAAGCTTCGTGCTTACGGTTTTCAGTTTTGGTTTCAGGTACGTCCGCTAGCAAAGGGAAGGGCTCGGGATGATCGCATGGCACACATCACTGTTTCAGCCTGGGATGTTATACTCTGATATTTTTACCATATGGTTTTGTTATAGTATTTGATATGATGATTGGAAATACATGATACATGGTTTTCTTTATGATTATGGATGAATTATGGTTTTATATTAAGATTCGAAAACGAAATTTTTGGCTTGTATTTTTGGGATGTTTCAAGTTGGTATCAAAGCCTTGGTTTGAGAGATTCGGGCACACTTTCGGGTGTGTCTGAACTCAAAATAAGGAATTGGTATAGAAATTTTCAAAAGGAAAATCAACTTTTGTAAAAAGGATTTTGAGGAAATAAAAGAGTTTTAGAAAAAGCAAAAAAAAATTGAAAAAGAAAAGAACTTTGAAAAGAGAAAAGGGTGTGGTGCATTCAACCAGCCGAGCTCAAGTAAGTACTCCCAAATTACTCATACAAGTTTATGTTATGTTATGATTATCAACTTTATAAGAACAACATGCTAGATTAGGACTAAGGATCTAGGAAGGATGCCTTATGTGCCTATTATATGTATTTCAGCTTTATGAACTGCATGCTAGTACAGATTAGTCAGAAATAGCCTGAGAGAGATATGCTTGATTATGTTTACTCGATGCTTGAATGTTGCTTGCTTTGTGCTTTTAGGAATTTTAGTTATCTTTTACTAACTAATAAGTGAATATGTTACGTTACATATTGTGAGGATTAGATAATTTCAGAAGGTTAGGTCTAGCTCTATTACGCAGCTCTTGTTTAAGTCCAACCGTTGTAGCGTAGGATCTCTCATTCGAAGAATTATCTAGTCTTAGTGATATATAATAGTATTCACGAGCTAGTTAGGGGGAGGTAGCAGGGACTTCTTATGCAGCTGATGGCGGAGAGTGGGTTGGTGATTACCCTAGGGCAAGCCTAGGAAGAGTTTAGTATGAGATCATCAGTAGTAGTAGAAGGGACTTGGTGGAGTCAAGGCAGTTCTTGAGGAAAGTAAGGATAGATGTGGAAGGTAGTATGGGCCCGTACTACTGAAAGCAGAGGATCCGTACTCAACTCAAGGAAGGCTAAGATGAACCCGGGAAACTTGTAGTATGTTAGATCCCTCGAGATATGATGTGTATACTGATGATTGTTATGGTATATTTTTCAGAATGGTGGTTTTACGCCCTAGACCAGCAGTCGGCAGTTCAGGTGCCGGTGAGGGATTAGGCTCAGGATTTGGAGCCGAACAGCTAGATGAGCAGACTAGGGAGTTCATCTCCTCAGAGATCATGCACAGTATTCTTGAGTAGACTCCTGTAATCTTCGGCTCGGGTATCCTGGAGCTTATGGATGAGAGATTTAGTGCTTTCCGTACTGAGGTGGCAGCCATGATGGGGTCGCGCACACTCACCTTTCGGGAGTTCAGGGCATGTGGAGCTCCTGACTATCATGGGGCTCGGGACCCCATTGCGAGTACTAGATGGTTGGCTGATGTCGCCAATGCATTCCGCACCAGCAGATGTCCTGAGGGGGACAAGGTCAGACTAGCGTCCTGTCTTCTGAAGGACAGGGCACGTGATTAGTGGGAGGAGGTCGGACGAGTCGTTGGTGATGATACAGTTTTGGATGCGATGAACTGGAGTGATTTCACGACTAGGTTCAGGGCTGAGTTCGCACCTGTTATTGAGGTGTAGCAGCTTGCTAGAGAGTTTCAGGACCTCCAGCAGACTACAGAGACAGTGGCGGAGATCACTGCCAAGTTCAGGGAGAGGGCCATTCTTGTTCCGCAGTACGTGGCAGACGAGGAGATGAATAAGGCCCGATATCATGAGATGTTGCGGAGTGATATCCGCCGGTTTGTGAGCCGCTCCAGCTGCAAGACGCTGGAGGACATGATTGTGAGGGCTCGTGAGAGGGAGATTGATTTAGAGATGGAGAGCAAGAGGAAGCCAGAGTCGATGTCTGGCGTGGAGGGCTTGGGCAAGAAGCCCAAGACAGATTCCCAAGGGAAGGGCCAGCAGGGCCGAGGCCGCTGCGGCAAGTGTGGCAGATCGCACGAGGGGACGTGCAGGGCGGGGAGTTCGGGCTGTTTCAAATGCGGCCGAACAGGGCATGTGAGCAGGGATTGTACGGCTGCTTCTACCACCATTACCACCACATTATCTGATC